AGTCTTTCTCGAAACTTGTCTTATGGTTTAGTTGCGCACTAATAGAATGTCATTGATTATCAAAACAAATCATAGCAAGACAAGGCGTAGGAGGTGCGTAACAAATAACATCCCGCTCGTGCATCTCGCAGAGTCACAATTACGATTAAATTTTGTGTTCCAAGACTGTAGAAGGAGCCCTTACTTTCAGCATTGCTGCTACGAGTCAGTAAGCACTGCAAGAAAATAGGGCGCGCTAGTAGTCTACGGCATCAATTTTTTTTTGTTATGATCACTACATTGCATTAAACTTATCAAACATGGTCTTTATTTATTTTTTTCCTTTAAGGACATCGCTAGGAAAGCACTGAAAACTTGAACATCCCCATACCTTCTGTGCGATGGTTGTCTGGTTTTGTAGCAAACATCACAAAAGAGTCTTTGCTGTAAACTCTATTCTACARAATGAGGAGGTATGAAACTGTTATTTTTATTTCAATTTACTTTACTTCATTTTTCACTTTTTTTTTTTTTGCCAGTAATTAAGACGCAGTTGAYGTTAATGTGCGCGCGTGTCGTATTTCCTCAAATAGTCCCTCAAATARCTGATTTTCGAGTATTTGCATGTTCTTTTCGTGTGAAATTTAGCTAGACAATATTACGACTGATCGATTGAGTAAAATAAGCTTCATAATCTTTGATATGGTTTTTGTTTTTTCTTCTTCCTTTCATCCCATGTTAAAGACCKTTTTAATCAACTTGCGCAACTTTCGACTGAAAGCGAAAATAAGAGATACGAATGACTTTAAATTCTAAATAGAGATTAATATAGTCGTTGCATTCGTGGCAGTTACAAAATTGTATCAAAATATTGTGCGTCAAAACGTTTGTAGCAATTGATAAGCAGGACTTTCCAAGTTATTACTTTTGAGGAAAATTGCGCAATCACAAAGAAAACATGTCTGTTATGTTGGCTCCAACATATAAGTAGCTAAGGTTTTTGTCTAAACGTACGACGTATATGCCAACTGGTCCACCTATACTCACCCCATCCATTGCTATGGTAACCATTCTCACATGTACTCTATACATCGATCCGGGTTCCAGCGGTGCGTTGTAGTAACCATGGTAATATTGACCGTCACCAATCGTAAGGTTCGAGATGGGACCCAGGAGCTCAGCAGTAATGTAGAATGAAGAAGATACTTCTGTTGCTACTGTTTTGTTTTCTAATTTGGATGGCAAGACTGCTCGGATGGGGTCCAATGAATTGAAAAGAACTTGGTCTTTTAACTCTTCTACGATAAACTGCATCAAACTTAAGAAGAAGAAATATACTCATTCGGTAGACAATTCGTSTTGGATTTGAATGATCGGGCAATTCCGAGAAGAAAATTTTTTTGGTTGCAAGACAGATGCTTCAGGAAGCATTATTATTTTAGAAGGGGGGAGGCCCATCTCACATGCAGATCAAGTTTTTACTTATACACAGCCAAAAAAGGGAGGGTTATTGGTATTTTCATTCAATCTAATTTCTATCATCGATATTCTGTCTTGATATTTATTCCTTTAAAGAAAGGGGATTGTTGATTTTTCTATGACGTTTATATGGATTCCTCCAGCGCTCCCCAYACTCCCTTCAAAAAATCAATGCTTTCTTGTTTGCCATCAATTCAGACCCACAGTTCCATGCCCAACGAGTCTCATTCTAACATTCAAACGACTACTATTACCTTATCAATCCGGTGTCTGTCTTGTTTGATTGATGTACTTCAAGAGTCACTGTTGATGTTGTGACTGCATTTGAACCATTTACAACTAATCGAGGTGCATCAGCTATGACAGAATATAACATTAGAACATCAAGTGCTTATTATTTTGAACCARGATTTTGTTCTGAGGTTACCTATTTGGCATACGATGGCTMCATCGTCGTCATGGTTACACGTTGTTTGTCCCCATCCTGGATGACGACAGTCAACAATCGACTTCTCTGTTCCATTACACTCCAGGTTACTCAACCAGATAGTACCATTTCCAGGTCTGAAGCTGGACTTTGGATACACCTTACTTGCCCCAGGGTAGCCAAGCATACCACAAATCACTTTAGCATCGTTGATGTCCAGTCCCCTRTTACATATTGTACYCCATACGTTACCATAGCGAACAGCAACACGACCAGAGTTGGATGAACTTCCGTCTTCCAAACAAAGTTCTACTGGTGGAAGATCTACAGATTTATAGAATTTCAGTAATGGACTACTGAAAGTTTCAACTTTAGTGGGAGCTAAAGCAATATAATCTATAACCAACCTTTTGCTGGTTTACACATGACACCAGCATAGTAGTTGTCCGGGCAACCAGTGTTCGTCCATCCACGATGATAACATTCGCTGATCGATCTTTCGTCGCCACTGCATTCGACTCCACCCATCCACARTCCTCCCCGCCTTCCAGGACCAAACTTTTTTAATGCTGCAAGAGCTCCTTTGTAACCAAGCATTCTGCAGACCACATGAGCGTCTGATATATCCCAGGTATCAYCACAGACTGGTATCCAYGTCTCGTTGTATCTYACTTCTACYCCACCAAAATGGGCATGTCTTTCTCCATCGAATTCGACGAGACGAGCCTTGACTGACAACTCATCTGATAATAGATAAATTGTAGATCAAGTTATAGATCAAGTTATTTCCCTAGATAGCATCAAGAGTTTTACATGGCATTGTACATGGGACATCAGTTGTGCGCAGTAACAACATATCCATAACATTTTAATAGCCCACGCACTGTCCATTGGTCGGCCATTCTCATAAAATTTCGTCTTGCTCTAAAGTTAAATGTCAAACAGTGACTGCCGAAATTAATCTCTCTTTAGAATGGGTCTTTCATATTGTTAACGACAATCAAATGCTGATACTTGCCTTGTGAAATATCTTCGCATCTRACTCCCGCGTCCTTTGTAGTGTAGCAGTACCAGACTCCCCAGCGAGGATGACAKTGATCAATACTCCTTTCGTTTCCACGGCAACCAAGACGTGTTAATATAACCGGACTCTTTTCATGCTTTTCTGCTTGCCCTGCCCAAGATGCTYTGCTATAGTTGAGCATGCGACAGACCACGTGAGCATCTGTTAGTTTCCAGTAATGCTGACAAACTGTGCCCCAGACTCCGTAATATCGAACCTCTACTCGGCCTTGGTTTGGTGTGCTGCCACCCGCCAGACGAAAGCTTACGTTTGGAACCAGAGCTATAATCAAATGCACTTGTTACTAAAGAGTAATGATGGTGAAGGGTTGATGGTTGATGGGTGTTTCATGATGGATCTGGGTAACAGACGGTAAATTATGATGATGAGTGATGTAGATGTATGTATGTACTCACTTGAAGGTGTCAATGAATGACTGTATGCACGATAGATGATCGGGGCAGGTATAGAACTATCACAAATTATGGGATGCATGATGATTGGTGAATTACCAATGATCAGTGATAATCACCTCATAATCACCGCTCATTATCGTCTCAGAATCACCGCTCGCTCGACCAATCACAGCTCAAGAAACTCWATATTTGAGTCTAAAATTATACTAATGATGGATACTATATACTGGATGAAGAATGATATATGATGGGTTATGGACGAGGGACGGTGGCTTACAATGGATGCTGGACGATGTTCGATGAAGGATAATACACTATGGCTGATAGATGGTGGACAGTGGGTAATAGATAAGAGAGGATAGGTGACGTCAGACATGCCGTGAGTATACTACTCCCTTAACGAARCAATATACTGTCATACTCACATGTAGGTCCTTCACATATCACTCCAACGTCATCATCKTGACGACACAATCTTTTTCCCCATCCCCAATGATCACACATTRAGATCGAGGTCTCCATACCAGAGCAGCGAACACCGTTCAACCAAAATTTGGAGCTGCCTTTACTGTAATGACTGAAAGCGGCTAAAGCTCTTCCGTAGTTTAACATTCGGCACACGACGCTGGCCTCTTCGATGTCCCAATAATACCCACATATTGCTCCCCATTGACCATTGAATCTGACTTGTACTTGGCCTGAATACGGAGTAYCCCCTCCTACTAAACGTACTTGTACGTCATCTGTAAATGAAACAACTTCACATTTCAAGTCTTTATCCAGCAACAAAAATCTAATGTCAAAATTTGTCTACTGACCTGAATATGAGTGACAAAYGACTCCTGCGTCGTTGCYATGACTACACAAGCTTGTCTGACCGAGGCCAGYGTGAGTGCAGTTTAATATGTCCTTCTCGTCTCCCTTACATTTTASCTCTGTAAGCCATATTGGACCTTTTCCGTTACCAAATTTCTGAAATGCGGTAACTGCTCCTGTGTAATTGAGCATGCGACAAACCACGTTGGCATCGCGCATGCTCCATCCATGGCTGCAGATTGTGCCCCARACTCCGTACTGCTGGATCTCAACCAGGCCCTCCATGGCCGAGGAGCCTTGAGTCAGACGCAAATTAGTTTTCCACGATTCTTAATAAAAAGTAAGACTTCGGTAAATTACTAAATTATAGCGATGCGTGATGAAATAAAGCTAGATTCTATAAAATGTTCTCTGATTGGCTAATTCTCTAGCGAGAAAAAAATGAAAAAACTTTGAAGGTKAAATCACTTGGAGGTTTCTTATCATAGCTTAATTTTTCTTTTCATTTGATAAAGTCGTTTTGAATCAGCGCGATACGTTTTCAAGTTTWTATTCCCTTCTAACTGTTGAGAATAGCAAGAGGCAATTGTTATTGTTTCCACGCATCTGTACGAATATACCTGTATGGTACATATCAATGTCTTATTTCATGATTCAGTTTCTTACCTGACGATGGCTTACAAACTATCCCAATAACACTCATGTTGTTGCAGGGCAAGATCTGTTGTATTCTAACTTGACAATGAGTGCTAGACATTTCATGGCCATTGCAGTCCACAGTTATCGTAAATATAACCGTAGAATTAGTAGAATGAGAAAAAAGAGTCATTGCTTTACTGAAACCAAGCGCTCGACAAACTACATGTGCATCCTTTAAGTCAAACCTGTCCGAACCAACATCCTCCCATGTTGTTTTGTTGTATTGAATTTGAAGTTTTCCTGTATGGGGTACTACACCATCGGCCAAACGAATCTTGATAACTGAAGTTGCTTAAAACAAACACAAGTAACAAAAGAATCAGTGACGCTCCTTGCCATCTTCAATGCTACTTATATTGGTTGTTGACAGAGAGTACCTATGCCATGATCATCACTATCATCATATTCAATGATGACACTAGGCATCACTCTTGGTTGACATCACTCTTGGTTGACATACAGAAAGTCTGTGTTATCATATTCAGTGTCGCACCTCGGAACCTCCTATATTGAGTGTCTTCCWTGCCACTTACCTCGTGGTTGACAGATAGTGCCAGTGTCATCATCATGATMATTATATTCAGTGTCTTCCATGCCACTTACCTCGTGGTTGACAGATAGTGCCAGTGTCATCATCATGGTCATATTCAGTGTCTTCCATGCCACTTACC